ATTAGTTGCGAAGCTTAGAAATCTCGGATGATGGGGTGACAAACAGAAAGAAGGTAGTCGTAAGCGTTCGATTGCTCATCCGCTCCTTCCTCGTCCTCCTCGTCGCCCTCCATTTCCTCATCGGTGTTCTTCTTCTTGGCTTGCTTGTCCTTGTTCCTCGGGAACGGCTCGTACTTGCGCTTAGCGAGCTCCTCAACCAGGACGGCCTTCTTCTTCTTGGCAATGACGAGCTTTCCGTCGATAATCTCCCTGATGAAACGAGCCTGCTCAGACAGCTTTCTGAAATCGGCATGATAGACACCGAGCCAGTGCTTCTTGCGCTCGGCGTACATGTCCAGACGGTAGTGGTAGAACTCCTCAAGAATGTCCTCGACCTTCTCATACTTGCGAATTTGGCCGTTGGTGTCAAAGGCAACCAGGTTGGAGGTGGCAACCTGCTTGGTGAGCTTGAAACGTTCCATGAGACCGTCGGACATGACATCCTTGGTGTGCTTGTCATCCATCTGGATGACAAAGTGCACGTTCTTGTGGTCGTTGAACTCCTTGTAGTCCTTGATCCAGACAGGGCCCTTGGTGCCGCTGATGACCTCTTCAAGCTTGGCCTTGAAATCGTCCGTCCACATACGAATAGGAAGTTCGGTGATGACGACCTCGCCAGTCTTCTCGTCAATGTCGCAGATGCCGTTGAACTTATATCTGTCCTTGTCGGCAACCTGGGGGGTACCCTTCCAACCGCGGAACCAAGGCATCATAGGCTCAAATGGCGCACCCTCGGGGTTTTCGGGGTCAAGACGGCCCATACGTCTCTTCAGGTTCTCAACGATGTGCATAGGGTGGTAGTTGGGAATTGAGGTGCTCCAACCAGTACCAATACCATCAGCACCGTTGCAGAGAATCATGGGAATGACCGGGGCATAACACTTGGGCTCAATTCTCTTGCCGTCCTCATACTGAGGCTCCAAGTTAGGCTCGTCGAGAGTGGAGAAGATCTTTCTCGCGAAAGGGGACAGTCTCGTGTGAATGTAACGAGGACTGGCAGCATCTGAACCACCGGCAAGACGGGAACCGAAGTTGCCACTGGGCTCAAGGCAGTTGATGTTGTTGGAACCGACGAAGTTTTGCGCGAGACCAATAATTGTCTGTTGGAGGGAAACTTCACCATGGTGGTACGATGTCTGCTCGGAGACATAACCAGCCAACTCAATAACCTTTTGATCTTTGGTCAAGTTCCTCTTGAAACAGGCGTACATGACCTTACGCTGACCAGGCTTCAGTCCGTCGACAACAGATGGGATAGATCGCATGTTATCGGCCATACTGAAAAGAATGAGTTCCTTGTTGACAAAGTCCGTGTAGGTAATAGACTTGGTGGAGTGGTCGAGGTATGTACCAGGGATGAAGTTGCCAAGCCACTCCTTTCTCGCGTCGGCCTTCTTCTTGGAGAAGGCGAGCTCGAAAAGCTCAGCCTCATCAGGCTTCATCGTGTTGAACTCCTTCAGATGGTCATCAAGGTTGGTGAAATAGACTTGGGCGTCTTCGTTTGAACTGGTACCCAAACCCTTGAAGTACTTGTAGTGCCACCGAGAAAGTTCGCTGGTGTGTGATTCCTTCCATTCCTCGTATTGGGGCTGGGTGAAGAAGGACTTGAGGCGCTGCGGCTTCTTGGGGTTCGGGCCCTGCCATACCTTCACGATGGGAGTGATGAACTCTCGGAAGAAATCCGGAATCTGAAGCAAGGACGGGTATTGGACTTGGAGGAAGTTGATGAGAAGACCCTTGATGTGAGAACCATCGTGATCCTGATCAGCCATGATCATGAGATGACCGTACCGCAAACCCTTCGTGTCATTGTAAACAGCCTTGTGCTTGAGACCAAGGAATTGCTTGATGTTTTGGATTTCCTGGTTCTTCGTGATTTGGTCAATCGATGCGTCACGTACGTTGAGCATCTTACCACGAAGGGGGAAGACTCCGATGCGGTCAGGGTCCAGGATTGCTCGTCCAGCGACAGCCAAACTCTTGGCAGAGTCACCTTCCGTGAGAATCAGAGTACATTCATGACCGTGGCGGGTGCCAGCCAAGTTAGCATCGACTAGTTTCGAGTTGCTGATGCGGGACCGCTTGTTTCCGTCACTCTTGGCCATCATCTTGTCCGCCTTCTTCTCAGCGAAATCGATAATGTTCTGGATGGCGTCGGACTTGGCGATCTTCTTCAGGAAATCCTCAGTCAGGGGACACTTGCTACCAAACTGGCTGACTTTGGTAGTCATCTGCTCCTTTGTTTGGGAAGTGAATGCGGGGTTGTTGACAAAACAGTTGACGAAAATGAAGATATGATTGCGGATGTGGTTCTGCTTGAGGGCGTGACCCTTCTTCTTCTTGTCGAGAGTCTTGAGCAAGGACCCAGTGATTTGGTCGGCGATGTAGTTGACGTGTGTGCCGCCAGACGTGGTTGCAATAGAGTTGACGAACGAGATTTGTTGGAACGAGCCGTCCGAGACCGTGAACCCAATTTCCCAACGCGGGTGAGCATCGGTCTTGTCAATCTCGACAACAACCTTGGGTTCGACGCCCTCCTCGGCACCGCGTTCCTTGGCGATGGCCTTGGCGTACATCTCACAGTAACCCTTGAACGCAAGCTTGATGTGGGTGCCGTTCAGGTAGGTCTTGACGTTACGGACAGTGCCGGCCATGTCGTAGACTCGGCGTTGGATCAAAGCTTCAAGGTCATCGTCGATGCCCGTCATGCTGAAACGCTTGAAATCGGGCTTGAAGGTAACACGAACGAAGTCACTAGTCTTGCTGCTCGTGATTTTCGCCTTGCCGCACTTGCTCATGTTGTCGGTCCAGACCTGCTTATACCTTTTTCCGTTGGTGGAATCCTGGCACTCGAGAGTGAATTGCTCACTGAAGACGTTGCAAAGCTTCGCACCGTAACCATTGCGACCACCCACTGTCTTCTTCTCCTCGTCGTCGTAGTTTGAACCCGTCAGCAGGTGACCGAAGATCATCTCCGGGATGTAAATCTTCTCTTTTCCGTGGATCTCGACAGGAATTCCCTTTCCATTGTTTTCGACAGAGATCTCTCCGTTCTCGCGGTCGACGGTAACCTTCATGTAGGTCATGGTAGCATCGCGCTGTTTGTTGTCGGCAGCGTTGACCAAGATTTCGTCAAAGATCTTGTAGAGACCAGGCACGAAGGTAACCTTGCGGTACTCCATAAGCTTCGTCTCCTTGTTGAAAACCCACATGGGTTGCTCTGTAGGCTCGACTGAGCCAATGTAGGTATCGGGACGCTTGATGATGTGCTCAAGCTGGGTGAGCTTCTGGTAGGTGTCGGTGGCATTCTTCTTCGACTTTGGCGCTGAAGCGGCCGGCTCGTCATCGTCGAGCATCATGCTATCGTTCTCGATTTCCGCCAGGGGGTTCCCGCTCGACTTCTTGGCGGCAGGAGCCTTCTTAAGCTTCTTAGAGCTGGGAGGTGTGTTGGAAAAGGAAGCGGCGTCATCGTCGTCGCTGTCGGGTTTCGCGCGCTTCTTGGGTGCGGCTTTGGTCTTGAGGGTGGTTTGCGTCAATTTCTTCGCCGGCGCTTTCTTTACAGGAGCCTTGGCCTTTGGCTTCTGCGACGGATCAGTGGTGGCCCCAACGAAGCTGTCAAGCGTGGCGATGGACGCAGGGACATCCGGCTGCGGCGCCGGTTTGGGCGGCGGCAGCGTAGACATTTTGAGAGTGAGAGGTGTGAAAAAGAAAGTACAGGGAAGTTGATCGAGGGGAGTTGGATACAGGAGCGAAAGCATGCAAACAAGTGGGAAAGAAAAGATGTGGTTGCGCGGTTCAGCTGGCGGACTCCGTCGCAAACGCTTCGCGACGAAATAGCAGCTTGTTGTGAGAGGATGGGTTGTGGGTAAATGGACAGCAGAGCGCAAAACCCTGCGACAGGAAGCAAGCTATCGACAGGAAGGAGTGACCAAGCTAGAGCGCTCCTATCTCAGATTGCGATACAGAAGGAGTTGGTGTTCGAAGTGATAATGCGTGATCGGGTATCCACACGTAGGCAAGAATTTGGGATCGCGAAGAAGCAAACATACCGGCGCAAAATCCGACTCCTCACCCATGCTAAACACGGAGGCATCGTCGTCCGAACTCATTCTGTACAGCTTACGCTCCCCGAGGCGCGGGGAGGAACACGAGAATAGACGAAACGCAGTTGTCCCTACGGTCGGCGGCGGTGGTGGTAGTCGAAAAGTCGGCGGCCGTCGACAATACAAAGAAGAATCGACAATCGCAAAACGGCTAGCTGGGCGGACCAGGCGCGCAATTGGCACGAAGGCTCGTGAGAGGGAAACGAGGGGGGAGGAGAGCGAGTGTGCCAGCTCGTCAACGGCCCTTTTCTACATGCGCAAAAGGAGGGTATGTTGGTCGGGATCGTGAAGTCAGATGGTGGGTTTGTGTGCGCTGGCTTTTGTTGTTGGTAGCAACCCCCTTGCGATGTTGATATTTGCCCCGGTGTAAACATTGGGAGTCGCGACATGGTCTTCTCTAACTGGACCGCGTTTGGGCGACTGCCTCCTTTGTTTACTGCCTCAGGCTAATCCCGACCAAGGCAAGCGCCCAGGTACGTGGGAGCGCACGAGAGCGGGGTTGGCAGCCACATCTGCCCCGCTATCCAATTGGATCGTGGCGTCGCTGCATCACAGAAAAAGTCAGGTAAGAAGGAGCCAACGGCAGGATGGAACTTTCCTGACACTGTCAATGTGCAGCAGTTTAGGCACCTTAGGTTACTTGACTGCTTCCACCAGTATCCGTAGGGGCTCGCGCTTCGACAAGGCCAACCAAAGTTTCAACGACTTCCATTAGCATCAATATCTGAGCTACTTCAACAGGAAACCCGAGCAAAATCGTTAATTAACGCCGCGTCCGCATCTCCCCAAAATAAACACCTCACTAATACGCCCTTCCGCTGCCCAAATCAGACCGCTTCTCCGCTCGCTTGTCTAGCTTCAAACAACACGCTTCGTCTTGCCCGTCTCAACCTCGTAGATCCAGCCGCTCAACGCCACGCTCTGCGGGACAAGCTCAGTCCCCTTGATGTATTCAATGTCTTTCTTGACAGCCTCTTCCAGATCAGAAATTGGCAGAAAGTCGAGACTGCGAGACTTGAGTTCGGCAGACGCTTCAGCTCTACATGCATATTAGCGGAGAAAGGCCTGGTCAGCCGTGGCTTCAAGGTACGAACCCTAAATTCTGGTCAACGAGTGCGTAGGCGTCCTCGTTCTTGAAAGTCAGCATCCCGCAGCCAGTGTGCTTGACGAGCACGATCTCATGCGTGCCGAGAAGTTGCTGAGAGATGACAATGCTGCGAAGCGCATCTACGGCAGATGCGCCGGCCTGTTGGTCTCAACATTAGCTGCCGACCAGTCAACGTTACCAGGTTTGAGCCCCCACATTGCGAATGACATGCGCATCGCCTAGCTCGATACCAAAAGCCCGCGCCGGGTCAATTCTAGCATCCATGCAAGTCAGGACTAGATACTTCTTGGCCGGAGGCAGCGCCAGATGCCCCTTGGTGAAGCCGGAAGAGTAGCTTTCGGATGCGGCTTCGACGTTTTTCTGTATATCGGACATTGTGGAACGATCAATGTGCAATGCACAGGTTGTGTGTGATACAATGGCAAAGAAGGAGAGATGCAGTTGCGAGTTGCGAGTTGAGGGAAACTGCGGCCCTTAAGTAGCTCACAGCTGTCTCGGTCTTGTCAGAAGTGGGAGATCTCTTGGCTAGATATATCCATTTGTCTCCAGCCTCTCCCCTCTCACCCGAGACGTCCTAACTACAGCAGAAATACCGCCCGTGATGCCGGTGGTATCTGATTGTGGATGGATTGCGTGATCCCGGGCTCTGTGAGTATCACAGCTATTGAGCCAACGAGCTTCGCTGTCCCCGCATCCCAAAGAACGGCTCAGTCCCGGCTGGGAAAGGTGAGGTCTGCTCCAAAAGCTCAGCTTCGGAGTGGGGTTGCCAGCGTCGCCGATCGGCGTTAGAGACTCGGATATGTAAGCTGTCTCCGGTCTGGCGGGGGGACTTTGGCCAAGACGTTCTTCAGAGAGGATGCCAAAGCTGCATGAACACATGCAGTCGCATCGAAGGTCAAATGCAGACAGGGCGAGAAGTATCTTCCCGACCAATCACTGTCTATTTCCAGTTTGTTTCCCACAAGTTGCAGCCAGTCAGCAAAGCAGTCCATCGGGATTTAATCAAGTCGATGGTGAGACAGGAGAATTCTGAAAACCAGTATATTTCAAATCCCGTCTTTGGCCCACGGAATTATGACGAATTTGAGTCGCCTCAACAATGTCCTAATATCTAGAATAACTCCTCTTCTCCCAACGCCGTGGACGAGAACAGGCTACGTTCACTAAGACTGAAGCGGCTTGTAGAAAAAGACTTCATCCTTGAGCTGTCGTGGAACCGCAGGGCTGATGCCGAAGTTGGGAATCCTGCCAACCTCGATGTAGCCGAACTTTCTGCATACTTCCTCAGCTGTGCTGCCGGCCTCCGTATCAAGCATCTGCGCAAATTGTCAACAATAGTGTCGGATAACTGGATGTAGGGTGGCTCATACCAATAGCGTCCGTCCCCTCCTGATGGACTCGCCTTCCAAAGCACCGATCAGCATCCTAGCACCGCCGCGCTGACGGAACTTTGGGCTGATGAGAAGCTTCTCGACAAAACCGCGGAAAGGACCCGTCTCAGAATATGGCATCCAGAGCATGACAACGCCCATGAGCTCTGTTCCCTTGGGCTTTGTTCCTGGCTCAGACTCGTCGAGGAGAATGAGCATCATGCGAGTGCCTCCACTGACCTCTGCAATGCGCTCCTTCCAGTAACCCAGCAACTTCTCATGGGACAGAGGCGGCAAGAATGTGGCCAGAGTCCGGTCATGGCTGATGCACGATGCATGGAGGGCTGCAAGATACGGAATCAGGTGGCTGTGGTCTGCGGGCGAAAATATGTAGGGGGTTCCCGAGCTTGAGGACATTGTCGCAGGGTTTTCTCGGGCTCTGAGGGACGAATTTGGGGGATGGATATTCGCCGTCTGCCCTGTAATTCGACCAAAGACACACTGGCGGGCTCCAATGCGATGCCGCCGTTGTAATCTTGGGTTATTGTGCAACTCGACCGGCAGTCAAGAGCTGACAGAGATCGACAGCGCAGGAACGGTGCGAGGGTATGCGTGTTCTGACCCTGGCGCGAAGTTGGGGAACTGGACGCCCACCAAACCTTAACCGGGATAAGGTGTTGGACAAGAGTTGAACTGGACCAAAATATCAGAAACGGGGGCCTCTGGCAATCTCGAATGTGGGAATCCAGAGAAGCAAGGTCGTCTAGAAAGGGCTCTCGGGGCATATAGCGGCGAAGTTGTAAAGCAGTGAGGGGGATCTTTGACAAGTGAGGGGGAAGCGAGTGAGTGAGTGCATGACAGGAAAGCTCACCTCAGCTTGTCTCTCTGTGTGTGTCTCTCAGGTGAGAAAGACAGCACGAGACAGGAAGGTGCGACAAAACAAGCTACCTAGTGCATCTAGGTAAGGTGAGGTAGGTTGGCTCAGGTGCTCTGAGGCGGGGGCCGCGTGTGAGTCAATTGATGTAATTGAGAAACGGGTAGATGTTTTATACGAAATGCTCAGGTCCGTCTGCAGAAGGGACTTTTGTGGTGATGGGAGCTTTCCTGCACTTCCCGGTTCCATTCCAAAAGTCTCAATTAACGGCTGAATTGGCGCTGGTCAGTAGTCTGCCGTCTCTTCGTACCTACCTAGGTAAGGTAAGGAACCTAGATAGAGGTATCGGATTGGCCCCAAGCTCGCCCAGCCCGCCGGCTGCGAGGGAATTCCCGGCGCAAGGGACACGGCACCGCACGCCGGCAGGGTCCTGGAGCAGGCTTGCCCCGCAGCATCAGTCACCTACCTACCCTACCTTAGGTATGGAAGGTACCTACCTGAGGTGGCTACAAGTCGTTGCGTAGTGTGCCGCCCTGAAGCACCCGAACTCGGACGCTGTCGCGGCGTTGCAACTGTAAGGTCCAGTATTCGTAAATGGCCCGTAGGTATCTGTAATTTCCTTACCTTACCTACCTACGTACCTTACATTACCTTATCTAGGTAGGCAGCGGAGTAAGTCTTATGGAACTAAAAGTAAATAGGTATCAAAAGACGACAAACTGCATGCACTAGACAGTTTGCCATATTATCAGCCGACAACTCGAAGCGGTCCCTGACATGACTGACGCGGCATGTCGGGCCTCAGCATACAGCCGTTCTTCCTTCGGTCTTTGTCGAGACTAGCCTGGCAGCTGAGACCTTGCGCCGGCGTCTGCCAGATCTCAACCGGTGTAAGGTACGGATAGTTGCGGCCCTTGGCAGAGATGAGGCACTGGCTGTGTATCCGACGGTTCGTTCATCATGCCAAAGCAGCCAACCATGCATGCATGCATGCACAGAGCTCTTGTTGACGAGTAAACAAACATCTGTATCTCTCTACCCACCCACCAGTCTGCGAATAGTCTACCTCACCTAGCGTCGGCCCCTCCATGGATTCCCCTCTTCCCCAGCGGTCAAACTGCTGAAGGACACATGTTACAGACAAATCAGGTTTGTCCACCTCACCCTTGCAACCCTCTTGAAGATGGCCTTTCCCATAGGCTATCACAACTCGGCGCAATGGGAACCTCCCGTATCAATCCACTCGCGGGAGCCCCGGACACACGGGCCATCCGAGAGGTGTCGTCTCACCTCCCCTTCACCGCAACAACATGAGGTAAATCCGATGTAGGTACCTGGATCTATGTACCCAAGCTTCCAGCTTCCATTGGTGGTGGTGGTAGTAGGTTGCCTCAGCTCCCGCCGCTTGCCCCTCGTACCTACTTTGCTTCACATGCAGCTTAATTGGGAGCTGCCCCTCTGACGTCGCTCTCCAGACCCTGTTTCATCGTCAACTTCAACTCCCGGTTCCCCTCCTCAAAAGTTTAGCCAACAGCACCACCATCTCCTCTCCTCGTGGCAGCCGTCCTCTTCCCGTGCACTCGCTCGCCCTGTACCACATCCTCATTTTGACCTAATCGGTCTCGGCCACGACCTCATCCCGTCTCACTACAGCAGCTCCCCGCCTTCATGGATCGCATCTTCCGCAAGGTGGAGCGGGGCGTCGAAGCCCTCTTTGGGGAAGAGAGGCACGCGCACACTCACTCCGGTCACTCCTGCGAGGAGCACCATTCCGATGCCCACACTGGAAACCGATTCCAATCCTTTGCGGCGCAGACCACCGGCAACGCCAAGTGGTATGTCGACGGATGCTCTTATTTCTGGGCCGTTTCCGAGGCCATTGAGCGTAAGAACACACACACACACACACACACACACACACACACACACAAATGAGCATCCTGCCGACACTATTGACTGCGACTGACCGCGTCACTATGCAGAGGCCCGCGAGAGTATCTACATTCTGGATTGGTGGTTGAGCCCGGAGCTCTACCTGCGCCGGCCCCCTTCTGCCAATGAACGATACCGTCTCGACAACCTGCTCAAGGCTGCTGCTGAGCGAGGTGTAAAGGTCAACATCATTGTCTACAAGGAAGTCGAGGCCGCACTGACCTGTGAGTATTCATCCATGTCAGAACCCGTCTCACCAAGCTAACTCGCTCGATAGTGAAGTCATCTGTAAGTCCATGTCGATGCACACCTGCAACCAAAGCTCCATCCATGAACACCATCGATACTTGACTCATGCTGATATCTTCTCAAGCACACAAGGACCTACCTGGAAAGCCTTCATCCCAACATCGGCGTGTTTCGACACCCTGACCATGTTCCCACTGGATACGACCTCAACAGTGAGATTGGCGAGAACTTCTCAAACCTGTCCTTGAGCACGTTCAAGCTATCCACTTTCTCTGGTGATGCCCTGAAGACCATCTACGGTACCGCCACCGACGGCGTCGTTCTGTTCTGGGCCCACCACGAGAAGCTTTGCCTCATTGACAACAGAATCGCTTTCATGGGAGGTTTGGATATGTGTAAGTGATGAGCAACGGTTGAGCCATTGAATCAAGATGAGGAATCCGCTAAATAGATTTCAGGCTTCGGTAGATGGGATACCAACAGTGAGTTTGAACTGGGAATGGTATTAAGCGCCGCTCTGACACACGTATAGGTCATCCCATTGCGGACGCTCATCCCGGCAACTTGGATGCCATCGTCTTCCCTGGCCAAGACTACAACAACGCGCGTGTCTATGACTTTGCCGACGTTGATAACTGGGAGCAGAACAAGCGTCAGTCAATATTTCCGGCCTGTACACTCGAGACACATACTCACTCATTCGCTAGTCGACCGCACCAAGAGCTCGCGAATGGGCTGGTCTGATGTTGCCATCAGCTTGAGTGGTCCCATCGTTCAAAGCTTGTCGGAACACTTTGTCGACAGATGGTTGGTTCATTCTGCATTCCTCGGCGGCAGCAACACTTTATCTGACTTGGATGTAGGAACTTCATCTTTGATGACAAGTACACCAAGAAGAACCCTGGAAAGTATGGCAGAATCGACGGCTTCAGCCAGGAGTCGGGAAGAAT